TCAGTTGTAACCATGGTGACACTCTGGTCCCTTATATGCGTGTGTCAGTGTATGTGTGTCTCTGTGTGTGTGTGTGTGTGTGTGTGTGTGTGTGTGTGTGAAGTGTGTATGTGTGTGTGTGTGAAGTGTGTATGTGTGTGTGTATGTGTGTGTGTGTGCGTGCGTGCCGCGGGCTGTGGACTCAAACGAACAGATGAAGGCGCCGCGGGGATCAAACCAAACACTGGAGCCAAAAGTGAAAGAAACGATAATACACTGATTTAAAGAAGTATTTTCTCTCTCTAGTCTCTCTCTCTGGTCTCTCTCTCTAGTCTCTCTTTTTGGTCTCTCTCTCTCTGGTCTCTCTCTTTGGTCTCTCTCTCTGGTCTCTCTCTTTGGTCTCTCTCTCTGGTCTCTCTCTTTGGTCTCGCTCTGGTCTCTCTCTGGTCTCACTCTGGTCTCTCTCTGGTCTCTGTTTGGTCTCTCTCTGGTCTCGCTCTGGTCTGGTCTCTCTTTGGTCCCTCTCTCTGGTCTCTCTCTTTGGTCTCTCTCTCTGGTCTCTCTCTTTGGTCTCTCTCTGGTCTTGCTCTTTGGTCTCTCTCTCTGGTCTCTCTCTTTGGTCTCTCTCTGGTCTCTCTCTTTGGTCTCTCTCTCTGGTCTCTCTCTTTGGTCTCTCTCTCTGGTCTCGCGCTGGTCTCTCTCTGGTCTCACTCTGGTCTCTCTCTGGTCTCGCTCTGGTCTGGTCTCTCTTTGGTCCCTCTCTCTGGTCTCTCTCTTTGGTCTCTCTCTCTGGTCTCTCTCTTTGGTCTCTCTCTCTGGTCTCTCTCTTTGGTCTCTCTCTGGTCTCTCTCTCTGGTCTCGCGCTGGTCTCTCTCTGGTCTCGCTCTGGTCTGGTCTCTGGTCTCTCTTTGGTCTCTCCATCTGGTCTCTCTCTGGTCTCGCTCTGGTCTGGTCTCTGGTTTGGTCTCTCTTTGGTCTCTCCATCTGGTCTCTCTCTGGTCTCTGGTCTGGTCTCTCTTGGGTCTCTCTCTCTGGTCTCTCTCTGGTCTCTCTCTGGTCTTTCCCATTGGCTCCTGCTGAAATACGGAGACACAAATTACATTTTACCAACAGTCTTTTACATGCTGTTATTTCTGCTGGTCTGTAAACGTAATATGGCCGCTCTGATCCGTCTCCCTGGTCCTGATATAAGCGCACACACATATACACATATACAGACATATATACTCTACACACACACACACACACACTAAGATTAAATTACGTAAACATATCCTCAAGATCCTGTGGCAGGGACAGGTTTGGGCCTGGTCTTCTTTAAGTCTCTTTGACGTAAAACTGTGAATGAGACGCAGAATGTCTTTAAGCAGCTAGCTCCTGGTTGGTGCAGGAGGGGAGACGATTTAAATGGAAATAACATGTTTTTATCAGTGAAGCTTTTATCTGAAGGAGGGAGGGAGAGAGGGAGGTATAGGGGGAGGAGAGAGAGGAGAGCGGTATTGGGCAGGGGAGAGAGGAGAGAGAGGGGATATAGGGGAGAGAGAGGGAAGTAGGTTTGAGAAGGTAGGTTTGAGAGGGGGGAGAGGATAAGAGAAAGGGGGGAGAGGGGGAGTAAATGTTTGTGCCAAATGCAGAAATGTGACTTTGACAAATTACCTCGTCTCATTTCAAAGAACTAAACTCCAGAAATCCTCCTCCCACCAGCTGCGTGCTCCAGGATTATCCTCGGTTTAGTCCTGGTTCAGTCCTGGTTTAGTCCTGGTTTAGTCCTGGTTTAGTCCCAGTTTAGTCCCGGTTCAGTCATGGTTCAGTCCTGGTTTAGTCCCAGTGTTGTCCCGGTTCAGTCATGGTTCAGTCCTGGTTTAGTCTTCGTTCATTCCTGGTTCTGGCCTGATTTAATCCTGATTCAGTCCTGGTTTTGTCCTGTTTAGTCCTGGTTATGCACTAGTTTAGTCCTGGTTTAGTCCTGGTTTAGTCCTGGTTTAGTGTTCTGTTCTAAAGTTTTGTTTTTGTACCGAGGAAAGGACCTGGACTAAACCAGGACTGAACCAGGACTGAACCAAGACTAACTCAGGACTGAACCAGAACTTAAGCAGTACTAAACCAGGACTTAATCAGGCCTGAACCAGGAAAGAACTGGGACTGAACCAGGATTAATCCAGGACTGAACCAGTACTGAATCAGAATTATGTCAGGACCGAATCAGGACTAAACCGGCTCTCCCTTACCCTATACCTTTATTTATTTATTTCTTACTGGGACAGTGCATATTAATAAACATTTCTGTAACTTTCTTCTCCCTCTCCTCTCCTCCACCCTATACCTCCCTCTCTCCCTCCTTCCTAAACCAGGACAGAACCAGGACAGAACCAGGACTGATCAAGGACAGAACCAGGACTGATCCAGGACTAAATCAGGACTAATCCAAGACAGGACCAGGACTGAACCAGGACTGAACCAGGACTGAACCAGGACTGAACCAGGACTGAACCAGGACTAAACCAGGACTGAACCAGGACTGAACCAGGACTAAACCAGGACTAAACCAGGACTGAACCAGGACAGAACCAGGACAGAACCAGCACAGAACCAGGACTGAACCAGGACTGAACCAGGACTGAACCAGAACTGAACCAGTACTGAACCAGTACTGAACCAGGACTGAACCAGGACTGAACCAGGACTGAACCAGGACTGAACCAGGACCAGCTTTATCCGTCTCTTTCCTGATCACGTCTGAGTCGCTGAGACGGCAGATGCAACGCAAACTTTTGATGGAAACATTTGAGATAAAGTCACTGAGACAAAACCAATCAGTCCAAATGAGAAGCAGACTTTTCTAATCTCCTCTGGGACAAATGTGTAGAGCTGGAACAGAATCAGGGAGAGAGAGTCATCTGAGAGAGAGAGAGAAAGATAAGTCATCAGAAAAAGAGAGAGATAAGTCATCAGAGCGAGAGAGAAGTCATCAGGGCGAGAGAGAGAAAGAGGAGAGAGAGAGAAGCCATCAGGGCGAGAGAGAGAGAGGAGAGCGAGAGAGAAGACATCAGGGCGAGAAAGAAGTCATCAGAGAGAAAGAAGTCATCAGAGAGAAAGAAGTCATCAGAGAGAAAGAAGTCATCAGAGAACAGGGAGAGAGGAGAATCATCACATATGTAACTTCTAACTTTTTAAAAAACTGATTTCAGAATCAGTCTGTTTTGTTCATTATGTTTTACTTGAATAAGACTCTGTTGGATGAACATAGTGTAATATTCAACAGGAGAAAGTCAGGTACCTAAGCTTTAAAGGAGCAGTAAAAATGTCTGGCCAAAAGTGGAACAGCAACCTCTCCCACTCTCTGACTTGGGTTGCCAGATATGCAGACAAATCCACCTGGGACCATGATAACTGAATAGACAAGAAGAGTTTTGTAAAATCTATAACCAACATCTTTTTCACAAAGGCCTTGATAGAAATCAGTGTTTTGTCATTAAGGGTTTGAGAATCATAACGAGATCTTTTTAGTTCTGCGACCACAAGGGACTTTACCAGTGACATTAGCTCGATGCGGTGAGCAACCCGGATCACGGAATTTCTGATTGGTGAAGCGGTGGAGGGTGGGATCGAAATGAAAACAACAACAAGATTTAGGGGCTGTAAAAGCCATTTTGACTTTCGAATCTCTCGGCTGAACAACTGTGGTCAATTAAAGAAGTATTTGAAAAGAGCATGATTTTATTAAAGCCTTTTAACAGATTGGGGCCATTTAATGATGACTTGACATGAAAATCTTACATATTGTTACTTTAACGATACTATTCCCCATTTATTTTCTAATGAGTTCATAAAAATGCTTATTACTACATACACGTTGTATTATAATCTATAAATTCATTGAAAACTTGAGCTCATTGATTCAGCTTGTGAATGAACTCAGGCTGTATAAAGATACTGAGTAGAGACCTCCACTCACAGAACGGGGCTGCGTCCTCTAGCCTCTACAGCGCTGCTAAACACAGTAGCATGTTAGCAGCGTTGGCTATTACTCCTCTTGCTGTAACTGCAGACACAGCAAAACAGCCCAAACGACCCAACAGTGAGAAAGAGAAGAGGGAAATAAGGTGAAAAAATGATCAAAGAAGAAGTCAAGCTCAGGTGAACATAGCTAGTTTATATTGTATCCTCTGGAGAGACTTGTCTATGGGAGAGACCTGCGGGACCGCCTCGGACTATCTATGCTCGGACTACAGTCAGACGCAGAACTAGCTGTAATCTTCCAGTTATATATTTTGTTAGCAGTGCGTTGCTTTTGTGCCATTTCATCAGTGACTGTTGCACAGCTTACAAGAAGTTGCGCTAATGCTAATGTTAGCATATGTATCAGATCGCAAATAAAACTAGGTGACTCTGTGTTACGAGAACGTAGGGGAAATGAGACCTGTGAGCGAGTTGGGGGCGGTGCTAAACATTCAAACATTGCAGAAACGGGTATAGCTCCTTTAATCAGGGTTTGCCACTGGGACGAAAACATGACTTTGTCCAAAGGCATTTTGTTTATTTCCAAGTTCATTTTTCTGTTGAAAAACAATAAATAATGAATAGGCTTTTCTCACACAATAACATCCCTGCAGCTTCAACAATGTTGGCCACTTTCAAATCTTTCACTCTACTCTACTCTACTCCACTCTACTCTACTACTCTACGCTACTCTACTCTACTCTACGCTACTTTTTTCGAGTTAAAGAAAAGATTGAATAGAAGGAAAAAACACACTTATTTCCACACATACCAACTGAAAGCAGCGGTAATAATATATTTTTATAACACACACACACCGCAACACACACGCACACACTGACACTCACACAGACACACACACACACACAGTGCCACACACACACACACACACACAAATACACACACACACGCACACACACACACACACAAATACACACACACACACACGCACACCTCCTGCAGACAGGATCCTTTGTGTTGATAAGTCGCCTCTCGTTAGCATTTAGATTAGAGACGCACAAATGGAGCTATTTACTGCGGCCCTCACCCCCTCCCTCCTCCCCTTCTGTCTCCTCCCACCTCCTCCCCCCTCCTCACCCACACCTCTGTTTACACTCCTCATGTGCAGATTCGGCCACAGATTTGCAGAACTGCGGTTCTCCGAGAAAATGGAAAAATCGGCGATCGAAACAGGATCAGGAGCTGGATCAGGATCAGGAGCTGGATCAGGATCAGGATCAGGATCTGGATCAGGATCAGGATCAGGAGCTGGATCAGGATCAGGATCAGGATCTGGATCAGGATCAGGAGCTGGATCAGGATCAGGATCAGGATCTGGATCAGGATCAGGAGCTGGATCAGGATCAGGATCTGGATCAGGATCAGGAGCTGGATCAGGATCAGGATCAGGAGCTGGATCAGGATCAGGATCAGGATCAGGAGCTGGATCAGGATCAGGAGCTGGATCAGGATCAGGAGCTGGATCAGGATCAGGAGCTGGATCAGGATCAGGATCAGGAGCAGGATCAGGAGCTGGATCAGGGTCAGGAGCTGGATCAGGAGCTGGATCAGGATCAGGAGCTGGATCAGGATCAGGAGCTGGATCAGGATCAGGATCAGAAGCTGGATCAGGATCAGGAGCTGGATCAGGATCAGGAGCTGGATCAGGATCAGGAGCTGGATCAGGATCAGGAGCTGGATCAGGATCAGGATCAGGAGCTGGATCAGGATCAGGATCAGGAGCTGGATCAGGAGCTGGATCAGGATCAGGATCAAGAGCTGGAACAGGAGGTGGATCAAGATCTGGGGCTGGATCAGGATCAGGAGCTGGATCAGGATCAGGAGCTGGATCAGGATCAGGAGCTGGATCAGGATCAGGAGCTGGATCAGGAGCTGGATCAGGATCAGGAGCTGGATCAGGAGCTGGATCAGGAGCTGGATCAGGATCAGGATCAAGAGCTGGAACAGGAGGTGGATCAAGATCTGGGGCTGGATCAGGATCAGGATCAGGAGCTGGATCAGGATGCAGGGGCTTGATAAGGATCAGGAGCTGGATCATGGGGAGGAGCACTCAGGGCTCCTGAAGCAAGAGCACAGAGCTCGGCTGGAGGGCAGAGAATCAACCACAGGAAATGCAATAATAACAAACACATATGAGCCATTGGTCCATAGGGAGCAGGATGACTGAGGCTGTAGGTCCAGGACTGAGGCTGTAGGTCCAGGACTGAGGCTGTAGGTCCAGGACTGAGGCTGTAGGTCCAGGACTGAGGCTGTAGACCCAGGACTGAGGCTGTATGTCCAGGACTGAGGCTGTAGACCAAGGACTGAGGCTGTAGATCCAGGACTGAGGCTGTAGACCAAGGACTGAGGCTGTAGATCCAGGACTGAGGCTGTAGATCCAGGACTGAGGCTGTAGACCAAGGACTGAGGCTGTAGATCCAGGACTGAGGCTGTAGATCCAGGACTGAGGCTGTAGATCCAGGACTGAGGCTGTAGATCCAGGACTGAGGCTGTAGGTCCAGGACTGAGACATATCAAACATTCATATACACACATTTCTTTTGCCTGTCTTTGTTTGAATCTGCACTTGTAGCTTATGGCATCTGTTGCATTCATCCTACACCTGTAAATAGTTCACATTTGGTCTCACATGTTTATCACTTATGGTTTTGCTGTTTGTGCTGAATACACTTTAATAATAACTATATTTCCAACTAGAACGATGTCTTTATTCACAGCATCACAGTTGAAATGAGTTATGAAACAGTTCATCGAACTTTCACATAAAACTGTGCCTAGAGACAGCTCAAACTACAGTGGAGTGATTTTAACACTGAAGTTATGTGTTCCCGCCTTTTGGATAGATGTAGGGGTTTGTACAATTGGTTAAAAAATACATGGATCAGATTTTTACTAAAGATAATCCAAGTTTGGTTTTAGAGCTACTGTAGTAATATTGACAAACTGTAAGACTGAGGCAGAGACTGAGGCAGAGACTGAGGCAGACACTGAAGCAGAGACTGAAGCAGAGACTGGAGCAGAGACTGAAGCAGAGACTGGAGCAGAGACTGAAGCAGAGACTGAAGCAGAGACTGGAGCAGAGACTGAAGCAGAGACTGAAGCAGAGACTGAAGCAGAGACTGAAGCAGAGACTGGAGCAGAGACTGAAGCAGAGACTGAAGCAGAGACTGGAGCAGAGACTGAAGCAGAGACTGAAGCAGAGACTGAAGCAGAGACTGAGGCAGAGACTGAAGCAGAGACTGGAGCAGACACTGAAGCAGACACTGAAGCAGAGACTGAGGCAGAGAAGAGAGCACATTACACCAACATCAAAGAGCACACAGTGTTGTTGATAGCGCCCCCCACTGTCTGTTTATGAACCTGTATCTATGTGAGAACTGTGCCATGTAAATGCATGTGCCTCCTTCCTCCTGGTCTCGTGGCAGAACTCCAGATGCTCAGATTTTCATTAGCGATAGCAGCACTGCCTCTTTCATTTCCTGTTGTGGACTGAAGGATTGTGGGTAACAGGAGCAGGAAGTGTGATAAAGTCCAGAGGAGGTTTGGACCAGAATCTGTGACCTCAGTCCAGAGAGGCATCACTGGAGAGACCTCAGAGACCAAGACTAAAGCAGGACTAGAGCAGGACTGAACCAGGACGAACCAGGACTAAATCAGGACTGAACCGGGACTTAACCAGGACTAGCGCAGGAATAAACCTGGACTCTAGCAGGACTAAAGCATGAATAAACCATAACTAAAGCAGCCCTAGATAAGGACTAGAGCAGGACTAAAGCAGGTCTAAAGCACGACCAAAGCAGGACTAGAGCAAGACTAAAGCAGGACAAAAGCAGGTCTAAACCAGGTCCAAACGAGGATCAATTCAGGACTAAAGCAGGATTACAGTAAGACTAAACCAGGACTAAAGCAGGACTAAAGCAGGACTAAAGCAGGACCAAAGCAGGACTAAAGCAGGACTAAAGCAGGACTAAAGCAGGACCAAAGCAGGACTAAAGCAGGTCTAAAGCACGACCAAAGCAGGTCTACAGCAGGACTAAAGCAGGATTACAGAAAGACTAAAACAGGACTAAAGCAGGACTAAAGCAGGACTAAAGCAGGACTAAAGCAGGACTAAAGCGGGACTAAAGCAGGACTAAAGCAGGACTAAAGCAGGACTAAAGCAGGACTAAAGCAGGACTAAAGCGGGACTAAAGCGGGACTAAAGCGGGACTAAAGCAGGACTAAAGCAGGACTAAAGCAGGACTAAAGCGGGACTAAAGCGGGACTAAAGCGGGACTAAAGCAGGACTAAAGCAGGACTAAAGCAGGACTAAAGCAGGACTAAAGCAGGACTAAAGCAGGTCTAAAGCAGGACTAAAGCAGGGCTAAAGTAGGTCTAAACCAGGTCCAAACGAGGACCAATTCAGTACTAAAGCAGGATTACAGCAAGACTAAACCAGGACTAAACCAGGACTAAAGCAGGACTAAAGCAGGACTAAAGCAGGACTAAAGCAGGACCAAAGCAGGACTAAAGCAGGTCTAAAGCACGACCAAAGCAGGACTGTAACACGACTAAAGCAGGTCTAAAGCACAACCAAAGCAGGACTAGAGCAGGACTAAAGCAGGACTAGAGCAAGACTAAAGCAGGACAAAAGTAGGTCTAAACCAGGTACAAACGAGGATCAATTCAGGACTAAAGCAGGATTACAGCAAGACTAAAACAGGACTAAAGCAAGACTAAAGCAGGACTAAAGCAGGATTAGCAGGACTAAAGCAGATCTAAAGCAGGACTAAAGCAGGACTAAAGCAACACAAAAGCTGAACTTCCAAAAAAAACACAGTATAAGGGTCGAATGCTCATTCTAGCCATCTCTTACTCCATTATTGTTTAATGACATATTTCCTCCTCCGTCACATGTTGGAGCTCATGTATGTTCTGTGTTTTATTGAGAGCTAAACTGGCTGTTTCTCCTCCGCAGTCCCTCCTTCAGTGTGATTAGCATATATATTGTATTGACACAGTGGCACCGTGTCTCAGGCTTTTATCGCCGCACTCTTCAAAGTTTTTCTGTCTCTGCTTCATCCCGTGGACCGCGGCGGCGTCTGCGTAGCGGGCCGCGGACGGGAGAGGAGGAGGAGGAGGAGGTCACAGGAAGCAGGAAATAGTTTGTTTTAAGTCTGAGTGTTTACAATAACAACACTATGTTTATGTTGGTGTTAGAGGGAGAGATAGGGAGAGGAAGAGAGGGAGAGGGCAAAGAGGGAGAGAGGGATAGAGAGAGACTCCAAGATATATTTTGTGTAAGAAAGAGCCTTGTGAGTCACTTTTTGCCTCTTTGGGCTGAGTGAATGGTTCTCTCTTGGATCTGAAGATGTGACTATTGATTGAAGCAACTGTTTTTGATAGTACTAATAGTTACATGTTGGAGCAGGACTCAACTAGCACTGAACAAAGTCTGAAGCAGGTCTGTACGAGGTCTGAACCAGGACTGAACCAGGACTGAACCAGAATTGGACTTTCTCTCAAAGCCCTCTCTCTTTGTTTTGGTCTCAAATCCATGGAAACCAGAGTCTATGAAAAAGGCATTCTCCTCTTTACAAACTCACTCTTCGAGACGCAGCTTTTTACAGCTGCTAAGAAATGTTCCAAAACCATATGTGATGATAGACCATAAAGCAGGACTAAGGCAGGACTGAACCAGGACTAAAGCAGGACAGATCCAGGACTAAAGCAGGACTGAACCAGGACTAAAGCAGGACTAAAGCAGGACTGAACCTGGACTAAAGTAGCACTAAAGCAGGACTGAACCAGGACTAAAGTAGGACTAAAGCAGGACTAAAGCAGGACTGAACCAGGACGAAAGTAGGACTAAAGCAGGACTAAAGCAGGACTAAAGCATGACTGAAGCAAGACAGATCCAGGACTAAAGCAGGACTAAAGCAGGACTGGACCAGGACAAAAGTAGGACTAAAGCAGGACTGAACCAGGACTAAAGAAGGACTAAAGCAGGACTGGACCAGGACAAAAGTAGGACTAAAGCAGGACTGAACCAGGACTAAAGTAGGACTAAAGCAGGACTAAAGCAGGACTGAACCAGGACGAAAGTAGGACTAAAGCAGGACTAAAGCAGGACTAAAGCATGACTGAAGCAAGACAGATCCAGGACTAAAGCAGGACTAAAGCAGGACTGGACCAGGACAAAAGTAGGACTAAAGCAGGACTGAACCAGGACTAAAGAAGGACTAAAGCAGGACTGGACCAGGACAAAAGTAGGACTAAAGCAGGACTGAACCAGGACTAAAGTAGGACTAAAGCAGGACTGAACCAGGACGAAAGTAGGACTAAAGCAGGACTAAAGCAGGACTAAAGCATGACTGAAGCAGGACAGATCCAGGACTAAAGCAGGACTAAAGCAGGACTGAACCAGGACGAAAGTAGGACTAAAGCAGGACTAAAGCAGGACTAAAGCAGGACTGAAGCAGGACAGATCCAGGACTAAAGCAGGACTGAACCTGGACTAAAGTAGGACTAAAGCAGGACTGAACCAGGACTAAAGTAGGACTAAAGCAGGACTGAACCAGGACGAAAGTAGGACTAAAGCAGGACTAAAGCAGGACTAAAGCAGGACTGAAGCAGGACAGATCCAGGACTAAAGCAGGACTGGACCAGGACAAAAGTAGGACTAAAGCAGGACTAAAGCAGGACTAAAGCAGGACAGATCCAGGACTAAAGCAGGACTAAAGCAGAACCAGGACTAAAGCAGGACTGAACCAGAGCTAAAGAAGGACTAAAGCAGGACTGAACCAGGACTAAAGAAGGACTAAAGCAGGACTGAACCAGGACGAAAGTAGGACTAAAGCAGGACTAAAGCAGGAATAAAGCAAGACTGAAGCAGGACAGATCCAGGACTAAAGCAGGACTGAACCTGGACTACAGTAGGACTAAAGCAGGACTGAACCAGGACTAAAGTAGAACTAAAGCAGGACTGAACCAGGACGAAAGTAGGACTAAAGCAGGACTAAAGCAGGACTAAAGCA